GTCGGTGCGGTGTTTGCCATCTTCCTCCCTTCCCGGCAGCCCTGCTGATCGCTGTCAGCGCCGCGGTGGATAAGATCATCGCCCACTTCAGCACCGCACGGAACCTGGTGCAGAAGGTGAGGGGCTGGGCTGAGGGTCCGGCCGCGCTGGGGTGGGGGCTTTGCACAGGGGGGCTCTGGGAGGTCCAGGGAGGGTCCCACTGCCCGTCCCCACAGGCGCAGGGTTCCGCGCTGCCGTTCCCCTCCATCTCATCTCCTCGTGCCTCCCTGCTCCAGGCGCAGTTGGGCGACAGCCGGCTCAGCCCCGACGTGGGGTACCTGCTGCTGCACACCCTCTGCCCCGCGCTCCACACTGTGGTGGAGGACGGGCTGAAGCCGTTCCAGAAGGATGTTATCACAGGGCAAAGGAGAAATTCCCCTTGGAGCGTGGTGGAAGCCTCTGTGAAGACAGGTAGGTGTGGGAGAAGATGCTCCTGGAGATGTTGGGATCAGCATCTCGGGGTGCCTGGAATCCTTTTCCAGCCTGGGCTGGAGGAGGACGACGCGCGCCCGGAGCTGTGACTGTGTCTGTATGCTCCACAGGTCCCAGCGCCTGCTCCCTGCACTCCCTGTGCTGGCACGTGGCCGGGCTGGCCCCTCTCGGCAGCACCAGGCAGAAGTTTCACGCCTTCATCCTCGGCCTTTTGAAGTGAGTATTGGCCCTGGCTGGCCCAGGCTGTTCCTGCTGGGATGGCAGCTTGGAGCGGAGTCCCGAGAGCTCCAGCTTGGGTTCCTTTTGTCTCGTTTAGCCTTAAGCAGCTGGAGCTGTGGATCTCTCACCTGCAGAAGAGCCCAGGTAAGGACACAGTGACCAGAAGCTCCCCCCCAAGTCCTCTCCTGCTTGCCAGGGTGACAATCCCATGCCAGTTCCACCCATGATGCTTGGCTGGGATTTTCGTGGCCAATAATGAACATTGTTTTCTGTGGTACATCTTCAGCTCTCAGCAGGAGCTGGTCTGACCTGCTGGGACGGCCCAGCTCGCCCTGGAGGGCTGTGTGGGCAAGGGGAGGGCATTTTGCAGCTCCCCAGCTCTGTCCATGTCTCATAGGTGTGATCTCCATGCTGTATTCACCCACGGCCTTCTTTGCCCTGAGCCAAGGGCCTCTCCCCCACCTCGCTGACGAACTGCTGCTGCTCATCCAGCCCCTCTCGGTGCTGACGTTCCACCTCGACCTGCTCTTCGAGCACCACCACCTCTCCGTGGACGTGAGACCCTTGTCCCGTCGGCTGGACTCGCCCCTTTTTCCTGCCCATCGCGCTGCTCAGGCACGGGGGGCTGTGCCCCCTTCTCTGGGGGGTCAAAGCAGCGCCACGGGGGCCAGCCTGGAAGATGAGACCCCCCCTGATGCTCTGGGGAGGGTGGCCGATGCAGAGGGCAGCCTGCGGTCCCCGTCGCCGGCCACCGTGGGGGCTGCCCTGCAGCAGACCCTCTGGCACGTGCGGCAGTGGGGTGACCAGCTCAGCCGCACTTTCCTGGGAGCCAAGAGCTCCCCAGAGACCCCC